CAGGCACGTGGAGGCCACACACACCACTGAGCCTCATTCTGACTGGTCTGGAGGAATTTACACTGAAGCTGGATCAGCCTGTAATGTGATTTTTCACTTTTATTTTGAGTACAATTCCAAATCCAGACCTCCATGTGATAATAATTTTGATTTACATTGATCATTGTTATGTTATTTTGTTCTCAACACATTCCACTATGTAATGAATAAAGATTTTTAACTGGAATATTTCATTCACTGAGATCTAGGATGTGTTATTTCAGTGTTCCCTGTATTTTTTTTTTGAGCAGTGTATATATGTTTTGCCACTGAACCTCTGAAAAATGCACATTAATTCAGGATTTCTCAGCATTAGTTTGCCCCTTTTCTTGTGTTAATAGCTCTTGAGCACTTCATGATAATTCCTGTTAAACCAGCAGAATCTGACCACGTTCCACAGATCCTCCTGTCACGTGAAAAATGTTGGTCGATGGCAGTCAGCACTTGTTGGTTTTCAAGTCTGTGGGGTTTCTCTGCTGTGGTGTCACTCTGTTCTGTCATTGAGTCGAACCTCCAACTTGGATCCTTCAGTGAACTTGTGTCCGTCCTCCGTGGTGAGACGCTGCTCCGTCTCCGCCCACCTAAAGCCTTATTTCTCCTCCTGAGAAGTGGATTAGAGACGCTCCTCTTCCTCTGAGACGCTACCAGACGGACTTCTGCATTTAGCAAATTCAGTATATGTGATGAAGTTGTGGGTGAACAGAGTTTGTATTGATCACCAGACGCTCGGCCCGCTTGTGCTCTGGATCTAGTTTCCACAAAGTGTTTCAGAGTTTCACGCATCGCCTGCTCAGAAACCTCCAGCCTGGTCGCGATTTTACCGGAAACTTGAGGAGCAGAAAGATTTAACAATTTCTAACATGCTAATTTTGTACAAAGAAGTTTGATTTGTGTCCATTTAATGCTCTGATAGAATTCGTTCACAACTTGTTTTGTTTTTAAAATCTTTCTAAACTCTATAATTTTTTCAAGGTTCACATAAAAACAACAGATTTCTGATGTAATCTCAGACTCGTAGATTCCACCGGATATCTGACAGTGAACACAAGGTACAAGAAATACACAATTAGGGCTGATTGTTCTGGGATTTAACACTTTTTTTTTTGTATTAAAACATAATACAAAAAAAATTTGCATTAATTTTGCCCATTTAAATGATCCATAGTCTTTCTCTCGAGTTGTGACTCTCGCAACAAACTAAACATTTACACACTTACGTCTCATTTCCTCAATTGTGACTTCCTGCAAATATTCTATTACAAAAAAAAAAACAGAATAAATAAAGAATCAATAGCACTTTATCTGGAGGGGATTTAATTTCCAAGTGTCCTCTGGTGAAATAAGTAAATTGGTGCCAATTACAGACAAACAAGAAATAGTCATTTTAATGTGTTATCTGGAGTTTAAGTTGATATTTAATATTGTATGGAGATGATTTTTTTCTCAAAAGAACTGCTCAGTTTAAAACCAAGCAGATAAAGATGAACTTTAATTTGTTTTTGGAAATTTCGATCTTTAAATACGGCTGCTGGATTGTTTTCTTGTCTGTAAACAAACTTCTGTATGTTCTGCTGAACTGCTGAGAACTGACTGCATTCATTTGCTTAAGCAAACGTGCACCAATTGCACCGCGTCTCCGCCGTCCATGTATTTACATGTCAGGTATTTTTCCTAATACATTTAAACAAAGTGCTGGATCTATTAAAGAAATCGGTGCTTCCTAATCTGCCAAATAAAACTGAGCTTCTTTTAAAAAAAAACAAACCACTTGTAAAATTTCATTTCTAAACAGGTTTGTAGGCAGAAATCTGGGAGAAAAAGTTCCCAGGAAGTCGGGAGAAACACAGAAGAAGCCACGAGTGTGTTGAGAACTGAGGAATTCAGCATCTTACCATCGTGACTGACAAACAGCCGCGACCTCATGAGCCTGCAGATAATATTGTTCTGTTCATGACATACGCTGTACAGAACAAACTACTGCAGCTTCACACTGAAACACTGTTGATGATTTGTGTGTAACACTTTTTAATCGAGGCTTCATTCGCTTCAAGGTTTTTGCTCATCTCAGTTGCTGTTGGATGATGACTCAGCATTTTTCATTTCCGTCTGAACATTTCCAAATATTCACTGATGCTCAGCTTCATTCAGCCTCTGTTGTTTTCTCCCCACATGAACAGCGCAACAACACGTTTTGCACTCATTTGTTGCACCACAAATTTCGATTTCGATTTATTGCAGTTTTTTTTTTTTCTATTTTTTACCAAAGTCCTTTAATCTCTCAGGCTGAACTGATGCGCTTCAGGCTTCAGCTATCTCACATTTCACTCACTTTAAACAGTGATGTGCTGCCGAACTGAACTGTGGGTTTGTTGATTCTCTTAACTGGCAAAGGAGCGTTAAGAAAAGTTCAACAGGCGCCAGGAAGTCAAACCAAATCGATCCAAGTCGTTGTTGTGATCACACCAGCAAACATCAAACATGTAAACCATAAAACTCAAATAACTCACAATTTGCTGCTCTGCAAACTTAAAAGACCAATCAAGTCCCTTTCCTGGATTCAAAGTTTGAAGGAGTTGTAGACTTTTAATACCAGAGCTGGCGATGGAGCCACCAACTCTAATGGAGTTCTAACCAAAATGTGTCTGAACTAAGAAATAAAAGACGTCACAGATCATAAAACCCATTGTCAGAGCTTCACTGATCAGACTGATCGATACGGCCTCCTCGACATTCTCAGCTTTGGGAATTGTGGGCGCATGAATGAGTGTAGAAATAAAATAATGAACCTTAATGTTGGTATTTCTTCTTCTTCTGCATTAAAGATGACGTTTAAAATCCCCCAATTCAAGAAGGGTTTTTTATACTTTTCTCTTTTAATTTGGTAAACTTGGATCTAGTTTCCTCAGTTGCACATCTTTTTGTTTTCGAGTCTTTTCGGAGAATAAAAAAAAAAAAACAGATCTTTACATACATGATTAATAAATTGTTTACTATTTATATTTATCTATTTTTTGATCAAATATGTCTTTCTTGTGCAACTGCTTGTGTTAGTGAAAGATTCAATATTAAAACACTGATGCACTGACATGTGTAGTGAAAAAAATGTGTTGTGTTTATTTAAAATGTTTACTTTCATAATCAGCACTGAAGCTCACGTATCAATAGGTTTAAAGCAATCTCCAGCTCTGTTGTTAAGAGCATGTTGATTTGGAAATGTTCCTAAATTCTGGCACCACTAAATTAAAGCTGAATGAAGCCATCAAACACTCAAACACTGTCCTGCATCAGATCCACAGTCTCAGTAAAGTGTTCTGCACGGCGGTACTTACAGTAAACCAGCAGCTGAGTGCTCTTGTTCACCGTCTGCTGGGAGACGTTGTTTCGGGCGCTGCAGCTGTACACTCCCTGAGCGCTGGGCTGAACGTCTTCTATCCTGAAGTCCAGCCAGGACCCAGAGCTGAAGGCCACCGAGTCGTTGCGTGACGATGCCCCGGCGAAGGCCCAGGTGAGCCGCTGAGACGGGTAGGACGAGCCGGAGCAGTTGAAGGCGACGGACAAACCCCGGACGGTGAAGAGCGTCCCGTTGGGGAGCTCAGTGGCAGGACTGATGGACGTGTTGACATTTTCTGGTCCATCTGGAACGAACATGTGAAGGACTTTACAGCTGTGCATCATCTAATCTGACACTAGAGCACATCTGTAATGTTACCTATGAAGAAAATGGCTTCATTAACTTTGAAAATGACTTATAAGTACCCTTAATTAAAGGGATTAAAAAAAACAGAAAGAAAAAAATACAAGTAGAAACCAGGAAGTTGTTTTAGAATTACACCATGGAACTCAGGTTGTGTTTCCAAAAATGAATACATTAAATGACAGGGACACATAACCAGCAGCTTTACTCTTGATTTTCAGATTNTCCAAAAGAAGGATTTGAGAAAATGCTAGAAAAGGGTCAAAATGACAGGGATCCTCTGGAGGTTCTGGGAACATACTGAGACGTGGAGTAATTCTTCATCAGAAGCAGTGACGAAGAATACGACTTTCTAGCAAACAAAGTGTATTTACAAACTCACCACCAACTTGGCGACATTTCTGTGTCAAATGATCTCTTAGAGACAAAGCTTTGAGAGCAGCTGTTCTGCTCCAGTCACAGAGAGTCTTCTTCCTGAACAGCAGCAGCTCGACTGCTTTCAAGCTACAGACACTGAAGCGGCTTATTTAGAACAGGACTAAAACCAGGACTTGTGCAGCGCTGTGAAATCAAACCATCTTTGCAGTAATTTGAGCTGAACAAAAATTGAAAGGCACATTCTGGAGACACGTGAGATGTTGATTCGTTTGCTGAGTCAGCGTATTGACTCAGCGTGTCAGACACGGAGTCGATATGTTTCACCTGCAAGCAGTAAACTAACATGTTGTTCACCCGCAGTCATGTCAAAAACCACGTCTCTGTGCAATAACACAACTACAACTCCATTACTATTTACTACACTGTATACTTATGTTGTAATTCTTCAGTACATTTTATGCTGTAGCTTTCCACTTATGTATATTTTTAGGATTTTTTTCCCTACTGATGTTAACCTTATCATTTCTCAATAGGGAGCAGCTGTAAGCAAGCTTTTTTTTAAAAAAATTTTGATTCTGAAAAGTAGCACAATATGGGACCTTTAATACTATATAATACAGTTAAGTTTGTAGTATGCAAAGTAAGCTAGTGTGCAGATAGAGTCAATAAAAAGAAATGATGTGCCCCTTGTTTCAAAGGAAACAACAAGAATGCCGTCAGTCGTTGTACTGCAATACCGTAGACGACTAGTAGAAAATGTTTGGCCAGACGTTTGCAGGAAAAAGAAAATTACTGCACAATGCAACTCAGCTGGACTTTAATTGTGTTAAATGTGTGAATTTGGTTAAGCATAGATTGAGTATTAGGTAAGAGATGCTGAGCTACTCACCCAAAGCCGCTTCCTGAAAGAAAAACAACAGAAATCAGTTATAGTCTGTTTGTGTGATTTCTACAGTTGTCATATGAAGAAGAGTTCATTTGCAAAAACAGATTTTTGTAGATTTTCAGAAAACTTTTTGTTGTTGCTGTTTGCTTGAGATAATATCAATCAAACTGAAGCTGAGTGGATCTGACATGACAAAAACAGAGATGACTTATATTTGGTAGACGATGGAAAAGGGTTTTTTTGAAGATCTCTGTTCTCTGTTTTTGCAAATGAACTCTTTATATGTGGCTTTTATGTGTGTGAGAATTCACAAACACGAGTTACCCAGGCACACTCGGTGTCGGCTGGAGTAAACGGTTTTAGCCACGATTATAGCCGATCCCACAATCAGCGCGGCTATGAAGACGCCGATGATGGCTCCCGTGTAGGCCGAGGAGGCTGCTGAAACCAAACGAGAGAAGATTATGTGGCAGGAAAAAAAAAAAAAAACAGGGTGGAGAAGCAGGTTTATCAGGATTCCAGAGGTGGAGTCGACAGCTGGAGTGACTGGCTCATTGTTTGCATCTCTGCTCCATTCATCTGTAGCAGGAACTGCGTGTTCTTTCTTTAGCATGTTATCTCCCTCACGTCTGTCACAGAAATGAGATGGAATGTTTTTCTGCACCCTAGACTCACTCTTCACGGTGAGGTAGACCTCCAGCTCGCGGATGGCCAGCGGGTTCTCGCTGCGGCAGAAGTAGTAGCCCTCGTCGTCCTTGCTGACGTTGACGATGGTCAGCTTGAGCTCGGGGCCGTCCTCCGACACCACGTACTTGGCTCCGGACACGATGTCGTCCTGCTGCAGCCCTTTCCTCCACGTGGTGTTGGCGGGCGGGAAGGACGTGGCCTCGGTGCACGTTAGAGTCACGCTGGTCGCCTCCAGAGCCGTGGCCAGTGGCTCGCCTTCAGGGAACGGAGGCTCTGGGAGAAACAGAGGAACATACTGAACTGTTATTATCTGTCCAGACAGTCACTCAGGACAGCAACAGTTTATGTTTTTTTATTCTAGTGGACTCCAGAGGGAATAAAATTCTTCACCGTGTAACACATAATTTCATACGTAGGGCTGAAAGAATTCATATATTTCATTGATTTACAAATATATCATTATGCTAATAGATTATTATCTGTAGAAGTAGTTTGGTAAATGCAAAACTACAGCCAGGAAACAGTTCAACACAAAATCAACCTTTGAAAAATGCAGAAGCCTGGTTCGACCCAAAGTTAACAAAATTCCCTCAACAGCTCACTAAATAACACCGACTGTTTATTTAACTCATGCAACCAAAAGCTGAAGCGTGAAACTAACATTTAGTGGTTTTAATGGGGTTTGAGCCACACCAGCTGCTTCCACTTCTAATATCAAACTGTGTCCTATCTAAAGCTTTTTATTTACTCAGCATTCACAAACGTGTATGTTTGTTCAGGTACGCCTTTAAATTGTGTGATTTAAGTGAGGAATTGCTACTTTTGGGGTTTGAAATTCAAGTAAATTCAACATCTTTGGGTCAAAACAAGCAACTTAAAGATCTCATTTGGGCCAAAAGAAAAGAAGAATACAAGAAGTTATGAGCAAAAGAAGTCACAAAGAACTAGGAATTGATAATGTCCTGTTTTCTGGTAATATTTTTGGTACTAAAATGTGTTTTATGACTGTTGTCTTTATTCTATTCTATAGTTTGAGTGCATATAGATGGAACATCTCCCTGTTCCTGCAAATATTTCTTCTTTTTTTGTTGTTTATTCAAAAAATAAAAAAAATAAAAAAAATCTGCTGCTCGTGTTCAATCGATCAATATTTTCTTGGTTAACTGTTTAATCTATGAAATTTTCCAAAAGAATGTACAAATAAGCAATTTGAAGATCATCTTTGAGCTTGGCTTTGAATTCTAATTTAATTCCTGTTTAATGGTCACTTTTATTTTTGACAAATTTAAACAACTTGTTTTTTTGTCCTGACCAATAATCCAAAACCCAGAGATGTGCAGCTAATGACAAAAATGAATAAATAAATAAATTTTAAAAAATAACAACTTGCACATCGTTTGTAAACCTGAAGAACTGAAATATAAAAACTTCCATGAGCTGCCTTTTGGTTGAATCATAAGTTTGTTAAGCCAATAAATAAGAAGTACAAAAGGATTGTAGTTACATAAGAACATGTGAGAAGTTTTTGTTTAACGCTTTATCAATTTGGTACCAACTATTAAATTAATTACCAACTATTCTGACTATTAATAATCAAGTTGGACAGGAGAAAAAAGGTAAAAATCATCTGTTTAGGCTTTTTATTATGGAATACTTCCTGGTTCTTTCCTGATTTTTTGATTTTAGACACCAACACACTCATAATTCACTAAAGAAAACCATGACTCGTCAATAAAATGTGTGTTTTTGTTAGACAGAGTTAGATGTTCATCCAAGAAAACTGATGAGATTCAACTCAAACTTTCACACACTTTTGCTTCAGGTCATTGTTTGAATAAGGCCTCTGCGTGATCATAACCTTTACACCGCTGAGTGACTCATGAAATCATGTTTGCGTTCGCAGGAGCACTTAATTACGACAATATTAATAACAAACGAAACAAATACGGTATAAAAACCTTCATCTCAGTGACGATATATTGAGGTTGATGAATTGAGATGTGGAGCAGTTTTTAAGCTACATTTCTGTAAACACGAGTCGTTCAGTCAAAGTATTTGAGGAGAAACAGACGGATCATAGTAGTTTATGACAGGAATGACTCAGCAGCTACAACAGAGGAGGAGCAGTTGATTACAAAGTAAAATATGCACGATTAAAAATGCTCCTACAAAACATATTTACTCAAAGCTTTTACAGGCACTGCTGCTCTGGTAGAAATCCAGCATGGAACATTTTGATTGGCTGAGGATGATGATCTGTGTTCTCTTAAATGCAGCCACACAATCGTGACACTCAAGACATTACTAAGTTAGTGAGGGAGGAGAACGATGACTTGTGTAAACACAGCAGTCGGAGGAGCTGTGAACTCAATCAAACAGGTTCATTAAGAGAGAAAACCTCTTTTAAAAGCTGCATTTTCTCTGTGAGCTTCACAAAGATTCCAGTTTTTGTAGAGAAAACATGCTCAGTTATGTTTCTGTAGGAACGACGCGTTCAAGTGTCTTAAATCCAGAAGAATTAAGACTCTTTCTTTGACAGATGTTTAGTTGAAAAAGTCGCCTGAAAAGAAGTACGGAATTTGGCACTGATTATAACNATCCATCTATGTATCCATCTATGTATCCATCCATCCATCCATCCATCTATCCATCTATCCATCTATCATCAAAATCACTTTATACTATGGGTCTCATTTGACACTACAAACTGAAACCTACGACATGGCCCGGTACGCCAACTACCTCAAACAGAACACCTTTCAGTATTTAAAAAAAAAAGAACAGTAGAGTAACACAAACCCTCCAATAAGAAGCAGCAGAAAAATAAACTTTCTCTCAGGAATGACAGAAGGTGTCTTGAGAAGTTCAGTACGTTTCATCTCAAGGAGTATTGAGTCTGTCATTTAAAAAAAAAAATGAATGTGAACATGTGAAGTATTGAAAAAAGATTTCGATCGCAATAATGCAACTTTTGCTGCATTGAGTTTCTACTGTGCACTGTAAAAAAATAGATTTTTGCAAACAAACATAAAAGATGGCGACAATTTTGCAGCAATGATGCAAGAAAATGGTGGAATACTGTAAAACGTTTGTTTTTTTTTTTAACTGTAGAAAACTGTGACAGTAACAAGAAGCATCTGTAAGATGTTTAGCACAGTTAAGTTCAGTTTACAACAAGCTACCATCTGTACAAATACAGATTTTTCAAGTGGATATAATGAACAGTTATATATTTATTTATTTATTTATTTTACTGTTGAATTGTATTTTTTCTATTATTTTACTAGATGTTACCTGAAATGTAACAAAACTGGGAATTTCAGTAAAATTACAGATGAACCAAAACGATTTATCCATTTTAAATTATTTAATAGAATTTTTTCCCCTGACATTTGCAAAATATGTTTTTTGTTCATTTGTTTTTCTGATTTAAATTCAGCATAAAGAGTGTAATTACACAGTGCAATGTTGTAAAACTACAAATCACCTTTTGTAGAAATACAGATTTTTGATGTGGACATAATTTACAGTTTTGTTTATTGATGTAAATTATTTACCTTTTTTTTCTGTGATTTTACCAGATATATTCTAGACTTTTACAAAATTGGC